GGTCTAAGAACTTAAAAATTTTAAATTGGACATTCACCTATTATGGTCCAATATCCAAAATCTAAATACATGGTTAGATTCAGCATATCAAAGAACCCCAAGAATTCAATTTTTGATGAAATCAAACAAAGTTTAATTTTGGACCTTTTTGACCTCAATGTGGACAAAGTTGATAACAGGGCCCAAAAATCAAAAATCTAAATACATGGTTAGATTCAGCATATCAAAGAACCCCATATATTCAATTTTTGTTGAAATCAAACAAAGTTTAATTTTGGACCCCGATTTGGACCAACTTGAAAACTGGGCCCATAATCAAAAATCTAAATACATGTTTAGATTCAGCATATCAAAGAACCCTAAGAATTCAATTTTTGTTAAAATCAAACTAAGTTTAATTTTGGACCCTTTGGACCTTAATGTAGACCAATTTGAAAACGGAACCAAAAATTAAGAATCTAAATACACGGTTAGATTCGGCATATCAAAGAACCCCAATAATTCAATTTTTGATGAAATCAAACAAAGTTTAATTTTGGACCCTTTTGACCTCAATGTGGACAAAGTTGATAACGGGGCCCAAAAATCAAAAATCTAAATACATGGTTAGATTCAGCATATCAAAGAACCCCATATATTCAATTTTTGTTGAAATCAAACAAAGTTTAATTTTGGACCCCGATTTGGACCAACTTGAAAACTGGGCCCATAATCAAAAATCTAAATACATGTTTAGATTCAGCATATCAAAGAACCCTAAGAATTCAATTTTTGTTAAAATCAAACTAAGTTTAATTTTGGACCCTTTGGACCTTAATGTAGACCAATTTGAAAACGGAACCAAAAATTAAGAATCTAAATACACGGTTAGATTCGGCATATCAAAGAACCCCAATAATTCAATTTTTGATGAAATCAAACAAAGTTTAATTTTGGACCCTTTTGACCTCAATGTGGACAAAGTTGATAACGGGGCCCAAAAATCAAAAATCTAAATACATGGTTAGATTCAGCATATCAAAGAACCACATATATTCAATTTTTGTTGAAATCAAACAAAGTTTAATTTTGGACCCTGATTTGGACCAACTTGAAAACTGGGCCCATAATCAAAAATCTAAATACATGTTTAGATTCAGCATATCAAAGAACCCCAAGAATTCAATTTTTGTTAAAATCAAACTAAGTTTAATTTTGGACCCTTTGGACCTTAATGTAGACCAATTTGAAAACGGAACCAAAATTTAAGAATCTAAATACACAGTTAGATTCGGCATATCAAAGAACCCCAATAATTCAATTTTTGATGAAATCAAACAAAGTTTAATTTTGGACCCTTTGGACCTCAATGTGGACCAATTTAAAAACGGGGCCCAAAATCCAAAAACTAAATACACGGTTAGATTCAGAATATTAAAGAACCCCATGAAATCAAGAATAAAACCCCATTGAAATTGGTCAAGAAATAAGCAATTTATAGGAAGTATCTTCTTTTGCACAATCCTGTGCTATTAAATATTTCTTGCTATTGCGCAATACTGTACAATTGACAATTTCTTGCTATTGCGCAATATTGTGCTATTGGATATTTCTTGCTATTGCGCAATACTGTGCAATTGAAGATTTCTTGCTATTGCGCAATACTGTGCAATTGAAGATTTCTTGCTATTGTGCAATACTGTGCAATTGAAAATTTCTTGCTATTGCACAATACTAATTATATAATAATTTACACATCCTGTTTGGTGTGTATCTCCTACCATATCATTATTATTTGATTTTAAATATAAATCAGAAATAACCAACTTAAAATGGAAAATTTTAAAAGAAACAAAAAATGAAAAAAAGAAAAAAAAAGAAAAAAAAAAAAATCCCCCCCCCAAATTTTTTGAACCCCCTTATGATTCATCACCCCCAAACTCAATCCCAGCCTTCCCTTTGTGGTATGGTACCTTGCAGTACAATTTCAGAGAGATCCATACACTTGAACACAAGTTATTGTCTGGAAACTAGAAAAAAATGTGTTTTTTGGCCCCTTTTTGGCCCCAAATTCCTAAACGTTTAGGGCAATTACCCCCAAACTCAAACCCAGCTTTCCCTTTGTGATATGGAACCTTGTAGTACAATTTCAGAAAGATCCATACACTTACACACAAGTTATTGTCATGAAACTAGAAAAATGCTTGTTTTTTGCCCCTTTTTTGGCCCCTAATTCCTAAAATTTGGAGGCAATTACCCCCAAAATCAATCCCAGCATTCCTTTAGTGATATGGAACCTTGTGGTACAATGTCAGAGAGATCCATACACTAACACACAAGTTATGTGTGGAAGTTACAAAAATGCTTATTTTTGGCCCCTTTTTGGCCCCTAATTCCTTTACTGTTATTACCATAACCCCCAAAATCAATCCCAACCTTCCTTTTGTGGTATTGAACCTTGTGGTAAAATTTCATAAAGATCCATTCACTTAAACTAAAGTTAGAGTGCGAAAACCAATGTGTCTTCGGACGACGCCGGACGACGCCGGACGACGACGACGACGACGACGACGCCGGACGACGACGACGCCAACGTCATACCAATATACGACCACAAAAATTTTTTTGCGGTCGTATAAAAACTGCAAAATTTCCTTAAAATTACCAATTCAGGGGCAGCAACCCAACAACGGGTTGTCCGATTCATCTGAAAATTTCAGGGCAGATAGATCTTGGCCTGATAAACAATTTATCCCATGTCAGATTTGCTCTAAATGCTTTGGTTTCAGAGATATAAGCCAAAATCTACATTTTACCCCTATGTTCTATTTTTAGCCATGGCGGCCATCTTGGTTGGTTGGCCGGGTCACCGGACACATTTTTTAAACTAGATACCCCAATAATGATTGTGGCCAAGTTTGGTCAAATTTGGCTCAGTAGTTTCAGAGGAGAAGATTTTTGTAAAAGTTTACGGACGACGGACGACGGACGCAGGACGACGGACGCAAAGTGATGAGAAAAGCTCACTTGACCTTTCAGGTCAGGTGAGCTAAAAATAAGCAATTTATACAAAGTATTGGTTTTTCTGCCCCCTTTTACCTAAACCAATAGGGTCATAACCCCTAAAATCAACCCCAAACTTTATTTTATGGTATAACACCTTGTGGCACAATTATATAGCAATAAATAGACTTATACTCAAGTTTTTGTCCAGAAATCAGAAAATCCTAGTTTTTGGCCCCTTTTCAGCCCCTTATTATTAAACAGTTTGGACCATGACCCCTAAAATCAATCCAAACTTTCCTTTTGAAGTATGGATCCTTGTAGTTAAATTTCATAGGAATCCATATTCTAATACACAAATTAGTGTCCTGAAACATCAAAAATGCTTGTTTTGACACCTTTTTGGTCCTTAATTACTAAACAGCTACAACAATAACCCCCAAATAAATCCCAACCTAAATATTGTGGAATAGAACCTTGTGCTTCAATTTAATACAGATCTATACAGTTATACTCAAGTTATTGTCTGTGAACCAGACAAATAATTGTTTTTGTTAGGCCCTTTTTGGCCCCTAATTCCTAAACAGCTACTATAATAACCCCCAAAATAAATCCCAACCTTCTTATTGTGGTATGGAACCTTGTGCTAAAATTGAATAGAAATCCATACACTTATACTCAAGTTATTGCCTGCAAACAAGAAAAATAGTTGTTTTTGGCCCCTTTTCGGCCGCTAATTATTAAATTGTATGGGCAATGACCCTTCAAAAATCATTCGAAACTTTCCTTTTGAAGTATGGAACCTTGTGGTAAAATTTCGTAGAAATCTATACTCTTTTACACCAATTATTGTCCTGAAACATGAAAAATTATTGTTTTGGCCCCTTATTCCTAAACAGCTACGACAATAACCCCCAAATTACATCCCAACCTTCCTATTGTGGTATGGAACCTTGTGCTAAAATCTAATAGAGATCCATACACTTATACTCAAGTTATTGTCTGTGAACCTGACAACAAATTGTTTTTGTTAGACCCTTTTTGACCCCTAATTCCTAAACAACTATGACAATAACCCCCAAAATAGGGTTGTTGTTATTGTGGTGTGAAACCTTGTGTTAAAATTTGGACCAAAGAAATATCTCTTATACTGAAGTTATTGACTACTTACCGGATTTGTAATAACATAAGCAACACAACGGGTGCCACATATGGAGCAGGATCTGCATACCCTTCCGAACACCTGAGATCACCCCCAGTTTTTGGTGGGGTTCGTGTTGCTTAGTCTTTAGTTTTCTATGTTGTGTCATCTGTACTATTATTTGTCTGTTTGTCTTTTTATTTTTGGCCATGGCGTTGTCAGTTTATTTTCGATCTATGAGTATGACTGTCCCTCTGGTATCTTTCGTCCTTCTTTTATTGTCTTAAAACCAGACAAATGATTGTTTTTGGCACCTTTCTGGACCCTAATTCCTAAACAGCTAAGTCAATAACCCCCAAAATCAATCCCAACCCTCCTATTGTGGTATGGAACCTTATACTAAAATTTCTTACACATCCATACACTTACTCCAAAGTTATTGTCTGCGAACCAATTTATTTTCCATGAACCACTAAAACTGACCTTTTTTTGGTCCCTAATTACAAAACCGCAAGGACAATAGCCCCCCAAAACAATCCCAACCATCCTTTACTGGTATGGAACCTTGTGCTAAAATTTCATAGAGATCCATGAATTTATACTCAAGTTATTGTCTGCGAACCAAAATGTCTTCAGACGCAGACAACACCATAACATGATACTACCTGCGGTTGTATAAAAAGGATGTAACATTTAATAGATTTATAATACTTATTTATTCATGCGTAAAAACGATACCTTTAACCTACTGTGTGCACTGATTTCAGTAAAAGAAAACAAAATATTTAATAAGGAGAGTAAATGACAATTAACCATGACAATAGAAATAAAGTGATGACTAGCTCATATGATAAGTTTTACAATAAAATATTCTTACCTAAGTTTTCGCAAAACATTTCTAATGCATAATAACTTTTGACCAGGCCTTTTGGGTTTTTATCTATTTCATTTGTAGCTCTTCCCAAGTACTGGAATACCAATGGCAATATCTCTGATGCATATTTACTAATGTCAGGCTGTAAGATAAATGCATGAAACAATATATAATTATAATCTGCTGTATATGAAGGCTCTTTTAAACATTGTTTGCTGTACATAGACTGTTGTACTTAAGGTACCATGTGTAGAATGACATATTGCAGCCATAGTGTCATGAAGAATCAAGGGTGGTTATCTCAACAGTTTTTTGACAAAATCAAAGATTATTGTTTTGATGGGATGATGATCATCATCATCCCCTTCCCTTAAAATTGAAGCAGGGATGACGCATCTATAGTTTTTGGTGCTGCATGATGGCTCCATTCTCTTCTGAAAGGCTAGCTCCTGAAAAATCTTAAATTGCTGCAATGTTACTTTTTAAAATCCAAATTTTCTTTGGATCCGGTTCCAGAAGCGAGCCCTGATCAGTGGCCGATTTCTTCATAAACGGGAACAACAAAATCAACTCGCAACACCCTTGTTAGTCACAGTTTGTCATATTCTTTTTAGCTCTGTTATTGTTTCTGATTATCAGGTTTGATGAGATAAATATCAGACTGAATACTAGTTGGTGAAAAGATAAAACTATCATGAACTAAAATGAAAATGGTGAGTTGTGTGAAAGAATTGAATTATTTTCTATACGGAAAGTATTTTCTTTCTGGATCTTAAGGAGCTTCAACTGCAAAAAAGAAAACTATCAGGACAGGAAAGACACTCCCGTTCCTAACCATGCACTATCAGGGACATACCTGTCAACCTCTTAACTAGAGGCTCTAGAGAGCCTGTGTCGCTCACCTTGGTCTATGTGCATATTCAACAAAGGACACTATCCAACATTGTAGACGACAATAAAATTCATGACAAAAATCTCTGTTTTGTTGATCTTGTATTGCTGATCATTTAGTCTGTTTAGTTTCTCTCTATCTTCTTTAGATTTTGCTCAAAACACAAAAGAGGGGAAAAAAAAAATCCTTATTTAATCCTATAAAGAGTGACAGCCTACTACCTATATCAGCGAAATGTGACTTGTTAGTAGATCTTGCCTTGCTGGTCATTTTTGTGATTTAAAGTGTCTATCTATTATAATTTTTATCATGTAAGGCAAAACCCCCAAAAAATGATAAAAATCGTCATTAAAGGGCAATAATTCCAAGGAGACGTCGGACGATTTCTTCTATATTGTCCTAATTGTAGATCTTGTCTAGCTGATTATTTTTGCTTATTGAAGTTTCTATCTATCTATTATAATTTTTAAGATATAAGGCAAAAACACAAAAAAATATGGTAAAATCATCTTCAAAGGGCAATAACTCTAATAAGGAGTTGGTTGACGATTTCGTCAATGTGAACTTATTTGTAGAACTTATCTTGCTGATCATTTTTTCAATTTAATGTTTCTCGGTATCTATTATAGTTTTCAATATAATAGGCAAAAATAAAAAAAAAATTGTTAAATTTGTCATTTAAGGGCAATAACTCCTTTAAGAAGTCGTCTGGCAATTTTGACGTATAGGGACAATTGGTAGAGCTAAACATTCTGAACATAACGGTTTTCAAAATAATGGACAAAACTTGCATTTTTAGCCATGGCGGCCATGTTGGTTGGCAGGCGGGTCATCGGACACATTTTTTAAACTAGATACCCCAATAATGATTGTTGCCAAGTTTGGCTAAATTTGGCCCAGTAGTTTTAGAGAAGATTTTTGTAAAAGTTAACGGACGAGGACGACGGATGACGACAACGGGGATGGACAACGGATGCCAAGTGATGAGAAAAGCTCACTTGGCCAATTGGGCAAGGTGAGCTAAAAAGGGAAATGCATTAAGAAAAAACTAGAGGCTCTCAAGAGCCTATGTCGCTCACCTGTATTTACTGATGCTTTGGAAATCATGTAAAATAAGTTTAAAATCATAATTAATAGTATTAGATATTAGATATTGTAATGATATCTAAGATAATAACAAAAAACTGCAAAATTTTTCTAAAATTACTAACTCAGGGGCAGCAACCCAACAACGGGTTGTCGGATTCGTCTGAAAATTTCAGGGCAGATAAATCTAAATCTGATGAACATTTTTGCCACCTGTCAGATTTGCTCTAAATGCTTTAGTTTCAGAGATATAAACCAAAAACTGCATTTTACCCCTATGTTCTATTTTTAACCAAGTCAGCCATGATGGTTGGAAGGCGGGGTCATCTGACAAATTTTTTAAACTAGATACTCTAATAATGATTATGGCTAAGTATGGTTAAATTTGTCTCAGTAGTTTCAGAGAAGAAGATTTTTGTAAAATATTACAATAAAATGCTCCGCAGGGCGCAGCTTGATACGACTGCAGAGGTCGAACCCTGAACAGTTAAGGCAAGTATGGACACAACAGCTCTGAATTTGGATTGTGATTAAATATTTGACACAGCATAGGTTTCTGACACAAAATGAATGTGGTCTAAGAACTTAAAAATTTTAAATTGGACATTCACCTATTATGGTCCAATATCCAAAATCTAAATACATGGTTAGATTCAGCATCAATTTTAGATGAAATCAAACAAAGTTTAATTTTGGACCCTTTTGACCTCAATGTGGACAAAGTTGATAATGGGGCCCAAAAATCAAAAATCTAAATACATGGTTAGATTCAGCATATCAAAGAACCCCATATATTCAATTTTTGTTGAAATCAAACAAAGTTTAATTTTGGACCCCGATTTGGACCAACTTGAAAACTGGGCCCATAATCAAAAATCTAAATACATGTTTAGATTCAGCATATCAAAGAACCCTAAGAATTCAATTTTTGTTAAAATCAAACTAAGTTTAATTTTGGACCCTTTGGACCTTAATGTAGACCAATTTGAAAACGGAACCAAAAATTAAGAATCTAAATACACGGTTAGATTTGGCATATCAAAGAACCCCAATAATTCAATTTTTGATGAAATCAAACAAAGTTTAGTTTTGGACCCATTGGACCTCAATGTGGACCAATTTATATACGGGGCCCAAAATCCAAAAACTTAATACATGGTTAGAATCAGCATATTAAAGAACCCCAAGAATTCAAGAATAAAACCCCATTGAAATTGGTCAAGAAATAAGCAATTTATACGAAGTATCTTCTTTTGCTCAATACTGTGCAATTGAATATTTCTTGCTATTGCGCAATACTGTACAATTGACAATTTCTTGCTATTGCGCAATATTGTGCTACTGGATATTTCTTGCTATTGCACAATACTGTGCAATTGAAGATTTCTTGCTATTGCGCAATACTGTGCAATTGAAGATTTCTTGCTATTGTGCAATACTGTGCAATTGAAAATTTCTTGCTATTGCACAATACTTATTATATAATAATTTACACATCCTGTTTGGTGTGTATCTCCTATCATATCATTATTATTGGCTTTTAAATATAAAACAGAAATAACCAACTTAAAATGGAAAATTTTAAAAGAAAAAAAAAAAGGAAAAAAGAAAAAAAAGGAAAAAAAAAAAAAATCCCCCCCCAAATTTTTTGAACCCCCTTATGATTCATCACCCCCAAACTCAATCCCAGCCTTCCCTTTGTGGTATGGTACCTTGCAGTACAATTTCAGAGAGATCCATACACTTGAACACAAGTTATTGTCTGGAAACTAGAAAAATGCTTACTTTTGGCCCCTTTTTGGCCCCTTATTCCTAAACATTTTGGGCAATTACCCCCAAACTCAATTCCAGCTTTCCCTTTGTGATATGGAACCTTGTAGTACAATTTCAGAAAGATCCATACACTTACACACAAGTTATTGTCATGAAACTAGAAAAATGCTTGTTTTTTGCCCCTTTTTTGGCCCCTAATTCTTAATATTTTGAGGCAATTACCACCAAAATCAATCCCAGCATTTCCTGTGTGATATGGAACCTTGTCAGAGAGATCCATACACTAAAACACAAGTTATGTTTGGAAGTTACAAAAATGCTTATTTTTGGTCCCTTTTTGGCCCCTAATTCCTTAACTGTTGGTACCATAACCCCCAAAATCAATCCCAACCTTCCTTTTGTGGTATTGAACCTTATGGTAAAATTTCATAGAGATCCATTCACTTAAACTAAAGTTAGAGTGCGAAAACCAATGTGTCTTCGGACGACGCCGGACGACGCCAGACGACGACGACGACGACGCCAACGTCATACCAATATACGACCGCAAAAATTTTTTGCGGTCGTATAAAAATTTACCAAAAAATTGACTATAAAGGGAAATAACTCCTAAAGGGGTCGACTGACAATTTTGGTAATGACGACTTATTTGTAGATCTTACTTTGCTGAACATTATTGCTGTTTACAGTTTATTCCTATCTATAATAATATTTAAGATAATAATCAAAAACTGCAAAATTTCCTTAAAATTACCAATTCAGGGGCAGCAACCCAACAACAGGTTGTCAGATTTGTCTGAAATTTCACGGCAGATAGATTTTGACCTGATAATCAGTTTTATCCTATGTCAGATTTACTCTAAATGCTTTGGTTTCAGAGATATAAGCCAAAATCTACATTTTACCCCTATGTTCTATTTTTAGCCATGACGGCCATCTTGGTTGGTTGGCGGGGTAATCAAACACATTTTTAAAACTAGATACCCCAATGATGATTGTGGCCAAGTTTGGCAAAATTAGGCCCAGTGGTTTCAGAGGAGAAGATTTTTGTAAAAAAGCTAACGACGACGGACGAAGGACGCCAAGTGATGAGAAAAAGTCACTTGGCCCTTCGGGCCAGGTGAGCTAATAAAAAATAGTGAATGCACCCCTAGGGATACTACCCCAACATCATAACAAATATAAAGTTTCCATCATTTAAGGCTTGCAAAAAAATGGTCGGACAAATTAGGGTTAAGAATAATAATAACAAGTAATCCTGTGTTAGGATGTTAACACAAAAGTCGCCAAAACGGCCCCCAACCATTGTTCTACTGTTTCCATGGTAACGGCAACCATTTTGAAATTTCAAAGTCGGATATCACATCTACACATAACAGGTCACATTACTTACAAGTTTCATAAAAATTGGACCAATTTTCAAATTTAGGCATTCGTGTTTCCATGGTTACGGTGGCCATTTTAGAAATTCCAAAGTCAAATGCCACATCTACATAAGACAGTCAACATTTGTGTAAAGTTTCATTAAGTTTAAAGCATTTTGAATTTTTTGACATTTTTGCAGTTTCCATGGTAACGGCAGCCATTTTGAAAATTCCAAAGTCGGATGGCACATCTACACATGACAGGTCACATTACTGTCAAGTTTCATAAAGATTGGACCAAATCTAGATTTTTCGCATTTTTGTTGTTTCCATGGCAACGGCGGCCATTTTGGAAATTCCAAAGTCTAATTTCAAATCTACATACACTCGTTAACATATCTGTAAAATTTCATTAAATTTGAAGCATTTTGAAAAAATTTCACATTTTTGCAGTTTCCATGGTAATGGCGGCCATTTTAAAAATTCCAAAGTCGAATTACAGCGACATATGGTGCTACCTGTAATAATCTATCATTATATAGCATAAAAAGTACATAGGAATAATTCAACACTATCACATGACTAATCACATGACTATTGTTCTAGAATGTTCCATGAAAATTGACCCCCTAAAATAATGCCAAGATGACCCCGGGGTGAAATAAAAAATGTGGAATGGACATCTGGACATTTAAGGCTTGGAAGAAAATGGTCGGACAAATTAGGGTTAAGAATAATAATAATAATAATAATAATAACTGGATTTGCCATTGCAAGCGATAACTGATGTCACCCTTCCCCCATGGACACTAAGCAGAAGCCATTACGAAAATTTTGAAGAGTGAATGCACATATATGCATTGCTATACATCTGTCTGTAAATTTTCAGTTCATTTAAAGTAATTTGGAATTTTTCACATTTCTGCCATTTCCATGGCAACGGCGGCCATTTTGGAAATTCCAAAGTCAAAAGTCTCATCTACACTTTCCAGATAACGTTAATATTAAGTTTCATAAAGTTTGGAGCATTTTGAAATTTTTGACATTTTTGGTGTTTCCATGGTAACGGCAGCCATTTCAAAAATTCCAACGTCTAATAGCAACTCTGCACATGCCAGTTAACATTTCTGTAAAGTTTCATAAAGTTTGGAAGATTTTGAAATTTTTGGACATTTTTGTATTTATGCTGTTTCCATGCATATGGTAACAGTGACCGATTCTAAAATTTTAAAGACAGATGCCACTTTGGCAGATGACCAGGAATATACCATGAAAGAATCATGGAATCTGACCTACCATTATAAGTGAGTAAATGCTACTTTTAAGAATTTCCCATAGGGGCTAATGGTAAATGTTTCTCCAGTTTCCATGGTAATGGCAGCCATTTTAGAATTTCTAAATATGGTCAACACATCTTGGCATGCCAGGCTACATTCCACTAAAGTTTCATCTAGTTGGGTCCCATAATGAAAGATTTAATGGATTTGCAATTTTAATTTTTTTTTCACATTTTTTTCTGTTTCCATGGTAACGGCAGCCATTTTTTAGTTCCAAAGTTACACTGCAACCCGAAAGTCAGGGTTCCTTGTTATAGTGCCCCATCATTTAGATTGGTTCCTTTGGCTCTGAGAAAACGGGCGGACAAAATTAGGTGGAAGAAAAATAATAATAACAAGAAATGATTGTAACAGGATGCTGTTACGAAGTCTCCCAAACGAAGCTCCCATAATTCGTAATTCCCAGGGTCGCCTGACATTGGGCAACGTCCAGTGAAAATTGGTTTTGTCCAGTCAAGTTATATGCATTAGTGATGCCTGGGGACTAACCTTGTATATCATTCAAATCATCTTGGCATGACAAACCAGAATATATGGTTTAGGGGTGGGGATCTCG